ACTATCTTGTGAATGTGACTTTTTTTTAGTATCCATCCCTCCTCAAATGCGTATCTCTAGTATGATTTTTGACACCTTTGACAACCGAATTCCCTATAGCACAAAGACGAGGTGCACTTGTCAAATACTGATCCCCAAAAAGATCATTTAATTTAATACATAGTAAGTCAATAATAATCATCATGACAGGCCTAACTGTGGTTATATTTGTAGACATATTGAGCAGCCTGAGGACAAATCAAAATCATGCTGTCCTTGATTTCTTTTGAATTCTAACAAACTAGAGAAGCACAGACAGATGCAGCTGTGAAACATTCAGGAGGAGAGCTCAGTGTCACCATCAAAACACAATCAACCCAAATTCAACAGTTTAGCATAGGAAAGGCTCACAGTTGTTCAGCATATTACACTATTTTCTGATCCATGGTATAATATTGTTTCCTCATCACAAACAGACCTTGAGTTGTGTTTTGATTCATTCATACATGATTAACGCACAAACCTGCATATTTAGGCTGACTTCTTCCCTGAGACAGAAAACTACAGCTTCATAGCATCAAGTGGAATGGAGCATTTTGAGCTTTCGAAATGTAAACACACTCATAATAAAGAGTTACTCAGACGTGTGTGACTGAAACAAAACACAACTCCGGACATGTTTTTAATGAAGTAACAACATTATAACATGACTAAAATCTCACATGAGTCAGTTAATACGTAGACATGTCTGACTGAGAATTTCTTCAGTCATCTATACATCAGCTGAAGTGGACTATTTTGTAATGACACTTGAAGATTTGTTTACAGAGAAAAAAAGAATTGAAGTGATAAATTTGAATATTGCATTGAGGAGATGCACCATCTGGCATTACCCAAAAATGTTGAATATTTGATAAACAAAAACCTGTCCTGAAATGGCACTGAATATTCTCACTTTGAAGGTAGAGCTCATTATACTGATACTGAACGGAGAAATAAGGCTTGCGGTTTATAATCTAAAAGTTAATCCAGAGCTCATGACACACTCAAATATGTCACAGAGATAACAAAATAAACAACTAAAAAAATGAACCGTGATTTATAAACACAATTTCATCTTACTTAAAAGTCAGAAATAACTTTTTTTAAGTGATAAGTAAAAATACTCAACTCTAAAGATGGTCTATTTTATGTCTAATGAAGTGATATATGACTTTTTAATGGCCACACATTTTATTACAGTAGGCTAATAGTAGGTGTGTAATGATATCCAAGTCTCACGATACGATCTTGTCACGGTATGAACTTCACGGTACTATATTTATTGCGATATCGTGGGAAAGCTCATGATATGGTGGCGAGGCTCACTATTAGGAATATAACAATATCCAGATCTCTCAGTTTTCACAATATACATCTCAGTGTATGATATTTATTGTGATATTTTGTTGAGGCTAACAAAACTGTTAATATGCTACTTTTTCCTCTTAAAATGCCATGACAAGAGTTAATCCAAAGAACTAAGACTTAAAAGTGCTTAGGACTCTTATTTCTTCATGTAGTCTACACTGAAACGGAGCAAAGGATCATGGTCTATGTAGTTCCCTCTGTCATTTTTAAGCTACTGCTGCACCATAACCCTTAATGTAAGCAAAAAGACTTGTAATTCAATATATTGTGATGGTCCACGATATTATTTTGAGAACATTGATGATGCGATATCACGATATTTTGATTATTGTTACATCCCTAGCTAATAGTATATAGTAAATTACTGTATAGAGTTGTCAAAAGTATCGAAAATCAAATACTAATCTATACTAAAACTAGTATCAAACTAGATTTCAGTTGAACATTGATACTAAAAAGAGTCACATTCATTGCACAGAAATGAACCTTTCCTGAATAGCTTTAGAATGGTATAAGAGCACATATACTAGTACACGCCCATGGACCAACATGGAACCAACCTGGGATTACACAAATATAAGACTGCATGGTAAAACAAAGTACTATGATTTAATGTTGAAAATCACATTCTATTGTCTAATCTAAAACACAGACAAAAGATTCAATTGTTGCATATTGTTTATGATGCTTTTATTTTTTTGTAATTTTTTATTTTTTATTTTTTTGGCCAAGTAGTACGATTCTAATGGGGAATGAGTTTTTTCTGATCTGCCAGTTAGTGCAATAAAGCTCTACTGAACACCCAAATGGACTATATTTCATTGTTCAATTGACAATTACTGTATATAGTTCACCAGAGTCAACAATATATTTCCCTCTGCTCTTCAGAACTGACTATAAACCGCCTACTGAAGATCAGGAATGTTTAGGTGTTTTGGGGTCTAATGCCGATAATTTGTGGATTAGTGGGGGGGAAGTGGAGACTGGGAGTCCTGGGGTGAATCTAATTGAAGTAGATTGCATCGCCTTCAGGTTCATCACTGAAACAAAAGTGGAATCCACCCTTGGTTTTATTTTTCTTCATTTGTTTCCTGTTTGCTGAGCTCCTGGAGGTCTCATGATGGCTGTCTCTGATTCGTCTGGTATTTCGGCAAAGAATCGAACACTTGGTTTGGTGTTTTCTGGCTCGGATGTTGAAGATTTCGGTGGTTCTTCATTGGGGCCGGTGTTGTGGGATGTGTGATGGATTAGTAGAGCTTGTAACCTCAAAGTTTGCCCAAGTTTTTCTTTTAAGACGTTTCTGTTACTGAAATGACATTTGTACAATCTTTGGTGTTGTCAGCACCCTGTTCTCCTTCAGTCAGGCGGATGGCAGGAATCTGAGGCCCATTCTTTACTGTTGGGACCTGAGTTGCTTGAGGTGTGTGAACAGTGGAAAGATGTCTCGGTGGTTTCCATTCCTCCTCATGCTTTGGAGCTAGTTTCTCTTCACAGCGTTCTGCTGGAGTCTTGCCTGCTTTTCTTGCAAGACACCTGGGTGATTTCTGTGCTTTTGGTGGGTCAAAAGGATACTCCTCGATAACCTCAGGCTTTGGTGTGGGGTCCAGAACATTCAAAGACTCACTCTTGCAGCCACCTGTCTTTCTTGCGAGATGCTTGGTTGATCTCTGTTTTTTTGGTTGGTCAGAAGGATACACCTCAATTGGCTGAAGGGGTTTCACCAATTTTGTCCAAGCATTATCAAGCATATTCCTACGTATCAAAATCAACTTTGTAATTTTAGTATTGTTACAGCACTAGCGAGCTAAATTAAATTTCAGAAATTAACTTTTTACTTTTGTAAAAATAACAAAATGTAAAATGTAAAACTAAATGTGAAATAACTGATACCGTTAGTTGGGGAAATCTTTTAATATCACCGATACCAATATTGGAATTGATATATTGCTGAATAAGTAAGAGCTTTATTGTCTTCAAATCTTTTAGCTTGAGAAAGTTGAATATATTTCATTTGATTTCTTATATTATGACTTTTCAAATAGCAATTTCATTTCTGACTAAAAATTCTACTTGTGACTTCTTTCTTAAACTTTGCACAGACTTTAGGATAAAAAGCAGGATCTGAAACATCAAAGTCGGGTTAAATCTTCTTACAGGGTCACGCTCGGGCTCATATACAAACCCTAACCGGCTTATTGTTTGTCAATGGCTCATACGCTGCTCTTCAATCTCCTCTCTCACTCTTTTCTCTCTCTGTTTCTATCTCTCCATTTCTGTCTCTCTTCTCTCTCCCCTCTCTCTTCACCCTCTCCGTCTCCCCTCTCTCTGGGTAACCTTGTTGCTACTCTCGCTCTCCCTCTCCTGTCTGCCCCATTCCCCTTCTCCCTCTCTGTCTCTCCTCTTTCTTTCTCAATCCCCCCTTCCCCATGCTCTCTCTCTCTCTTCTATTTCTCTGGCAACTCTCTATTCTCTCCCTCTCTCATCTGACCACTCCTCTTCTCTCTATCTCTTTTTACATCTCTCTTCCTCTCTTTCTATCACTCTAGCCTCTCTCCTAACACTCTCTCTGACTACCGCTGTCACTCTCTTCCTCTATTTTTCTTACCATTTCCCTCTTTCCTCCTCTCATGCCTCACTCCCTCTCTTCTCTCGTGTCTATTGCTGCTGTCTCTCATTTCTCTTCTTTCCTCCTCTGTCTCTCCTCTTTCTCTCTCTCTCTCTCTTTCTATCCCATCTCCCCGACTCTTCTTCTTTCTCTCTCTTTACTTCTCTTATACACCCCTCTGTCTCTCTTTCTTTATCCTGAAAAAGTTGAATATATGTCTCATACTATAATGGGATCATTACGTTCTGTGCATGTTAGTGAATGAAATATTATTACACACTCATTCATACTCAATCACATGCAAATAGGGTTGTCAGAAGTATCAAAAATGAGAAACTAATCGATGTTAAAACTAGTATCGGAACTAGATACTCATTTGAGCAAGTACCGATACTGAAAAGTAGCATTTACAGGACAGATATGAAAGTTTCCTGAATAGATTTAGAATGATTTTGAGCTGTATCAGAACAAGTATAAGAGCACGTAGACTAGTAAATGCTTATGGACCACTGTGAAATCTACCTGGACTGACCTGGACTGAGGGATTACACAGATATAAGACTACATGGTAATATAAAAGAAAGAACTACAATTTAATGTTCTATTGGTTAAATAAAGTGTTTTTATAATCATTGTGGCATCAGATTGTATTCAGTATCAAGTTTATCCCTTAGTATTGAAACGAGTTAGTATCGTGACAACACTGTATACAATCAAAGAAAGTGACTTGCCCATGAGCACAAATGTCAGGATATGCACTTCTGAAAACAGGAATAGAACCATTAACTAGGCTACTGTTTGCGTTATTAAAGAATGCAGAAATGCTATTCTACCCTTTATTAATTTGTGAGACAGTTTGGATAAATATTGTTCTTATCTAAAAAAAAAAAAAGTTAGAGTTGCTAAAATATTCCCAAATGTGAGATAGTTTATTCTATAGTTTTTTGTTTCTCCTCTAATTTGGTTGTAACGTCCTCAAGTAACATCTAACATCCAGAGCACTTACCTTATAAAAAGCAGCATTTTCAGAGCTCCCAGAAAACCAACAAACAGACACCGTCTCCTGCGCATCTCTCCCCCGAACGCGCGCTCCATCTTCGGCTTCTCCGCTCCTCTCCTCCCGCTCCTCTCCTCCAGAAGCGCTCAACCAACGCAACTTCCAAACATAGTGCAACAACAGGACGGAAAACACGCGCCTAGTCCCCCCCAAACAGTTCAGTTTACAGTGAAATCCGAAGGGAAAGGACTCAAACTTAAGTTGTCATAACAGATTTCGGCATAAAAATGCGTAAAGTAAAAAGGGGACGAGAGGGTGCAGAGGTTCTCGTCTCAGACAGCTGTTCGCGTGCTCTGGGCTCGTTCTCTGCCCTCGTGAATCACAGGATCACTAAATCCCGCCCCCTCTGCCCCTACTGGGGTTCAGATGATTGACAGATGGTTCGGCCAATCGTACACACGCTTAGTTAAAACGTACGTAATGTTGGATGTCCTCAAATGCATCCCCCCCGAGACTAAAGCATTTTATTATCAAAAATGGAAAAATAAATCAAAATAATGAATAAACACATGTATGAACAAATAAGTTGGCCTTTATAAGTTGAATACACTACCAATCAAAAGTTTGGACACATTTTTTCATTTATATTTCTTTATTTTCATGACTATTTACACTGCAGATTCTCACTTGAAGGCATCAAAACGATCAATGGACACATGTAGAATGTAGCAAACAAAAAAATAAACCCAAAATAACTTTTAAAATAACCACAATTTGCTTTGATTACTACTTTGTACACTCTTGAAAGGTAGCCTAAAATGTTCCACAGTATGGCATTAAACAGATCTACCTTACATTTATTAAATTGCAGGTAACATTCCAGATGAAGCAAAAACATCTCCACAGAGAAAAGCATTTGATGGACCATCCAGCAGAAAAGTTACACAATGCAACTTTAAATAAATCAAACTATCCTTTTGTGATAAAGCTCAACATCATCATAAAACTCTTCAGGAAAGGTTAATTTCTTTCCTGTGAATGAGACATTTTTAGTATCTATACCTGTTCAAATGATTATCCTGGATTCGGAAATACAATTATAAAATACTTGTATAATTTTTTCTCTCTCTCCCTGGTCCCTGGTTTCCCTTGCTCTATGTGTTGGTGTGTGAGAGTTTGCGGTCTGCTGGTCAGGATCACAGAGGGTCCCGCGTGGCTCTGCTCTCTGGATGTAAAGAAGCTCCAGTCCTCTGCCTTGCACCATATGTGTCCAACAGCCCTGTGCATGTTACATCACACACAGCCCAGGGCCAGAGACAGCAGAGGCACACACAGACCCATGGACTGCCTGGACTGTCACTGAAGGAGCTACAAGGTTCAAGAGGGGGGCAGTTCAAACATACATTAACACCTGCTCAATGTTTGTTTATTTGTTAGATTTATTCAACAACTTTCTTAACCTAAAGTAGGTTAATAAGATAAACATTTTATCGTTTGTCTTTGTAACTCAAATCAAAGTTCATTTGAAATGTTAATTGTAATAACAGATGTTGATCCAAAGAAAACTGTTTAGATTATGAACATTATATATATTACCTTACTTTAGAATCAACAGTTACTGTATTGAAGTTTCTGTCTGTGTACAGCTTCAGGTTTATACTGGTTCTTTTTTCTTGTATGTTGGTTTCCAAAATACACACTTGCTGCTTTCAAGGAAAAAAGAAAGGAAAAATATTTATTTATTGACCCTTATTTAATCAGGACAGTCCCACTGAGATTAAGACTCTCTTTATAAGAGTAGTCCTGGCCCCTGGCCCTATTGTACATGTTTTTAATGGTAGGGGAATCCGGAGCACGCAGAGGAAACCTATGCAGGCATAGAGAGAACATGAAAACTCCACACAGAAGCAAGAGCATTTAACCACTCTGTCACCGTGCTGCACAGAGCACTGAAAAACATAAACGTGAAAACATGGATTTCTGCAGAATCAATGAGTGAAGCAGTAAACTCTGTTAATCTGAGGTGAGGGAAATTAGATTTTGTTAAAAATGATGGTGACCAATGACCTCCTTCATTTCACACATGTCACTGAAATAAAGAAATGTGTGTAAGTGGGGAGTGGGGACCACTCTGATCACAGAGTGTAAACAATACACAGATTTATCAGTCTGGACTTGCCAAGCAATATTTATTAATTAGTTTATTTTGAATTTCAGATGTATTTTTTATGAAAATTTTATTTGATCTCTTTGTAATTGAATTTCATGAGAACATTTGTATTACAATGATCTGGCATTACTGAGATGAAAATATTCATGGATTTCAGCTTTCTGTTTAGACAAATGAATACTTTGTTTTGAATCACATTAATTGCTTTTGGCTATAAAGAAATGATGTTCTATTAGAGCTTCATAGTATCTTTTTGCACATGGCCTAAAGAATATTTAAAAGGGCACACACTTACAGACAGATATTTGTGCTTTGTGCTTATGTAACTATAATGCATTATGTAGTATAATAATGTGCACAATAACAGCCCCCAGTTATATGCATTCATCTTACAGCAGACTACACACTCTGCATACAGCTGCATATGGACCTAACAGCAAAGATGAGGCATTTTTAAACAGTCCAATATTTTATTAATATGGTTTTCCAACTTTGAAAAGAAAATCTCGCTTTTGCATTTAGCTGTTGTCAGTTCATACAACCGTGAACGAACATGCAACAAACAAAAGTAACAGCGGCAAAAGAGCATTCTGGGAAATGTTTGAAGAAAAACTTCACCATTAGGATCTCAAAGTGTGATCTCCTGCACATAAATGTAAATACAAGGTCTAAATCTATATAAAATTAACAATAGATACACTTTCATAATTTCATAAATAAGTGTATGTCTTTTATATCACAGACAAGGTGTTCCACAAGGATCTATCTTCAGCCCTCATCTATTTATAATTGACTCATACCTGCTAATTAATATTTACTAAAACTGTGATTAAAGCTTTATACTTTCTGTCCTTTTTTTATCTTTTATCGTTACTGATGAATATGTTTTGTCTTTTATTTCAAATAAATGTGTTTATTTTATTTGTGTCAATACAGTATGACAGTTACTAATTTTTACTCTCTCTATATATATTATAACAGCTCACAGTGCTTTCATTCGCTTGAGGATAAATAAAGTCATTTTGATTGATTTGATTCTACCACCAGTTAGCTTAGCACATAGCTGTTTAGCTGGCCAGCCAAGAGCACACAAGACTCCAGTATTAGCCTGTACAAACAGTGGTCTTATCTCTTATATGGGTGTGATTGACAGGTTGATTAGCCAAGGGTCTTACATTTCCTTATCTGATTTTTTTATCCATTTCCACATTTGGGGAAATTAAAAAGCCCATATTACACTGTTCACTGATCCATGTTATAATGTTTTTTGCTCATCAAAAACATAGCAGAGTTTGCCATAACAGTAATGCTAACAGCAACAGCATACTTGAAAAAGAAAACTCTTGCTCTCACATCCATGTGAAGTATTAATGTATTAAAGGGCCCATGTTCTGCTCCATGTTATAATATTTTCTCAACAAAAACTAAACCAGAGTTGTGTTTTGTTTCATTCACTCATGTTTAACAAATCCTGCATATTCAGGCTGAGTTCTTCTCTCAAATGGAAAACACTCTGTTTCACCTTATGTTGTCATGTGGTAATACAGGAAGTGCTCCTCTGTGTTTATAAACTCCATACACCTTCACTAGATTCGTTTGGATATTCTGAGCTCTGAAACTGCCAAACTTTACTGAACCAAAGATAAACTGACAGCGAAACTTTACTGACCAAAAGCAGCGGTTAACTTGAGAACTACCACTTCATGACATCACAAGGTGGAACAGAGCATTTCCAGTTTTGGAGATGTAGACAATCTTATAATAAAAGGATTACTCAAACATGTGTAAATGAAACAAAACTCGACTCCAGATAAGTTTTTGATGAGATAACAACATTCTAATATGGCTAAAAGTGCACAGGAGTCAGTTGTGTGTAATATATGACCTTAAACACACTCTCTTCAGACTAAATACATTCAAACTGTAATCTAACTTCTCTCCTGGACAATTTCCACGGCAGAGAAGTGGTACCGGCACGTTCTAATTTATTGAAACGACCAATAATGTTAAAAGATAAAACATGTGAATAATTGATCTGAGCTATTTTTAAAACCATTGAGTGAACATAAGGTCCGCCTGTCTTTTTCTATCACACCTCATCGCCTGCTACTATAAATATATTCATGCATTTGTTTAAGTAATGGTTAAATGGCACGTAGCTCTTTGTAATGTTTCCGCTTGTCTCCACAGAGATGTTATTTCTTTGCCTAGAAAGTTACATGATATGGCCTTGACAACCAGACCTTGGCTACCAGGCCAACTTACAGGTCAGGTCTGTGGAGAGGCGACCCTGCTCACGGTAGGAATGCTTTTCACTGTATTTCCGAGCAATAAAAATGTGTATTTGAATAAACGCTAAATAAAGGTCCTGTATTTTGCTAAATTTACAGTTACTTTGTCATAAACATACCTGGAGCTTTGTTTAGTTTTATTATTAATACATTTCCAAAGCTTGAAATGCTCTGTTGCACCTTGTAATATCATGCAGTAGTTTTCAAGTTAACAGCTACATTTTACTTTTTGTTTTGCAGAGATCAAAATCCAGAGTTGAAATTATCCACATGATTCTAGTGAAGGTGTACGGAGTTTAAAAACACAGTGGAGCATTTCCTGTATTACCACTTGACATTAGAACGAGGAATGAGTGTTTTTAGTTTGAGAGAGGAGAGGTTTGAAGGCTTAAAATGCTTAAAATGTGTGAATGAAACAAAACACAACTCCATGTACTTTATGTTTATGATGAGAAAATATTATAACATAGATCAGAAAATAATAATATAAAGCTACAATATCTCCATGGAGACAAGCAGGCGGTCTACCCCATACCAAAAACCAATAAGTTCTATGTAAATTTAAAGTAAATTTAGTATAGTTAGTAATTTATTTGATTTGAGGCTTAAAGTTAAACCAA